CCCAAACCTTTACTCTGAGTAATGTCTGCCTGGGAGGTTGAGGTTTGCAGCAAAAGGATGGATTCTGTTTTCATATCCAATCTGTTAGCCTGTGTCTTTCATAGGTGAATTGAGACCATTTACATTAATGGTTATTAATGACCAGTGATTGCTAGTTCCTTCTATTTTTGTTTTTGTGGTTGGTGATAGCATTCCCTTCTTTGGGGTTTGCTGCTGTAAGCTCATCTATTTCCTGTGTTCTTGTGGATGTAGGTAATTTCCTTGGGTTTGTATTTTCCTTCTGGTACTTTCTGTAGGGCTGGGTTTGTGGATAGGTATTGTTTAAATTTGTTTCTTTTTTTAAATATATATATATATCATGGAATAGCTTGTTTTCTCCATCTATGAAAGATTGAAAGATTTACTGGTGAAAGTAGTCTGGGCTGGCATCTGTGGTGCCTTAGTGTCTGCATAGTTTCTGGAAGCTACTTCTGGAAACTGCTGCTGTCATTTCACTCGGGGATCACTCCTCAATCCTGGGCCTGATGCTGAGGCCTCCCTCAGAAACTGCTTCCAGGTCTGAGGCTCGTGGCTCTCTTGACTCTACTCCCGGCCTCTGTTTCTATAGTTTTGGAAGTTGCTTGCTCTGCACTTCCTGTTTAATCAGGTAATATTGTATCCTTCTCAGGTCTCTGATGGAGTTGAAGACTAGGTAGTTATAGTTTCACTTGTTAACAAATTTAGAAGAGAAACTCACAAAAGAGTTGTAAAGTGTCTAAGGTTGGAAGACATAAAAAGATAGTTTGGATTGGTAATATAAGTTAGTATAGAAAGTAAATTAGATACAAAACTTTGAACTCACCATGATAGAATAGGATAGATAATGAGTTATTTACTCTGAATTTGCCATATCCAAATGGAATGCATATTGTTAATGTAATTCTTACCTGCATTTATTTGTACATAGTTACTGTACTTATTGTATATAGTTTTACTATGTTAGCTAAACCATTTTTTATTTAGACAAAAAGGACAAAATGTATGATATTTTCATCACATTCTGAAAATAAAGTTTGCTTTGAGTCAGAAAGCAGCTGACCAAAATTAGCTGATCCATTAGCTGACCAAAATTAACCATAGAGGTTTTGGAGGACAGGACAGATAGGAAATAGGAAATTGTAGCATGAATTCTAATTGTTTTTTAATAATAAAAACTCAGAGGCAGATATTGGGGTTAATACTGAGGATCAGAGAAGCAAAGCAGCCGGCCACTAGAGATTTCTCACCTCTACCAATGCTCAGACCAAAGGGGCGATCATGTCCTCAGACTGCTTAGACTGCATCATTCCTCAGACTGCAGTGTTCCTCAGTCTGAATCTCTCTATTGCTTTCTCCTGCCTTATATTCCTCTCTGCCCTGCAACAGCACTCCTGTCTCCACCTCCTTAGTGCTGGGATTAAAGGCATGCCACTTCAAGTGCTGAGACATCGTTGTGTGAACTGTTTCTCTTTGAGACTGGATCAATTTTGTGTAGCCCAGGGTGGCCTTGAAGTAACAGAGATCCATCTGTCTCTGTCTCTTGAGTGATGGGATTAAAGGTAGGTACCACTGCCTGGCCTCTGTGGATAACTAGTGTGGCTATCTTTGCACTCTGATCTTCAGGCAAGCTTAATTTGTTAGATCATAAACAGAATATCACCACAGGAGTTAGTAAGGCAGGGTAGAGAGAGAGGATCTAAGTCCTTTTTGGATTGCCGACTTCCAAATTTTTATTGATAAATAATTATATAAATGTTTCATTATAGACTACTCCAGCCTTGACTTCAATAAGCCCTGTACTTTCCCATTACACACAGACTGGACAACCAAAGTTACAGCTAGTTTTCCCAGAAGGTGGTCATTATCTCAATTTTCTCAGGGTCTCTTAAAGATGCTGCTTCCCCCAGACAACAGGAAGTAATTTTAAGAATAGGACACCCACATTCCCAAGAGTTGTGGTGGCTGGTTTTTGATCATTTGGTGGGTTATGAATGTTTGTTTTTGTTTAGAGAGTTGGTTGCAAGTTATTACTGATCATAGACAGGGAGGAACTAAGCAAGGGAGGTTAGATTCAAGAATCTTTTTTTAAAGGGGGGTAATATAAAGGCTAGAATAAAGGGGTAGATTATTGAATCTACTTTAAACTCAAAAGCAACGATTAACCCAAATATCTTACATTCATAGGATTTTAATATATTGATACATATTTAAGATTTTGTTAGAACATACTCCATATTCCTACTCTTGTTTTAGGTATTTTTTTAAAAAAGATTTATTTGTTATGTATGTTAGTGTTCTGCTTGCAGGTCAGAAGAGGGCACCAGATCAAATTATTGATGGTTGTGAGCCACCATGTGGTTGCTGGGAATTGAACTCAGGACCTCTGGAAGAGCAGCCAGTGCTCTTATCCACTGAGCCATCTCTTCAGCCCCCAAGGTAATTTTGTATATTGATACAAACTACCTATAGCTCTGACAGGAATGGTATCCTGGTAGTCTGAAGTCAAGGATTATCTTCAGCTCTGAAGGGAAAGGTATCTCAACTGAAGTGTTACAGCTCTCTTTTGGTGGAGGACAGTTTCCCCAGCAGTGTTACAGTCCTTGCTCCAGAAAAGGTTTCCTCAATGCAAGTGTAGCAACTGTGATCCAGCAGAGTCATCACAGCTCTACTCAGCTCTGCTCCAGAGAAATGTTACAGCTCTGCTCTGCTTCCCTGGAGTGTAACAATTCTGCACCACCCATGGAAAGTTTCCTCAGCTGGTGTTATAGTGCTGCGCTCCAGCAAAAGTTGTTACAGCTCTGCTCTGGTGACATTATGTCTTTATATCTGTTCTCTGGTAAAAGAAGGCTGTCTTTACCACAAACATCACTTGATTTATTGGGAGGGAGGAATCCAGGATAGTGGCTGCCTCTGACAGGGTGGAAAAAGTCAGCTCCAAACTAGATAGAAAGTGAATAAGGTATAAAAGTTTGGACTCACCAAGATAGGATAGATAATAGTTTCTCTAAATTTGCCAAATGCAAATGAACTGGACATTGTAAATGTAATCTTTTTTTTTTTTTTTTTAGATTTGTTTATGTATACAGTGTTCTGTCTGCATGTCAGAAGCGGGCACCAGATCTCGGTATATACAGTTGTGAGCCACCATGTGGTTGCTGAGAATTGAACTCAGGACCTCTGGAAGAACAGCCAGGGACCTTAACCTCAGCCATCTCCACAGTCTGATAATTGTTCTTACTGTATATAGTTTTACGTGTTAAGAGTTAAAACCTTTCTTTTTTACACAAAACAGGGGAAATGTTGGGGGACATTCGATCACACCTGTGAACCCTGAGTTTGCATTTGCATTAATTAAATAAAATTAACCTTGGGACAGGAGGCTGAGTTAGCAACTATTTTGACAGGAAGTTATCCAGGAGAGACACACAGGAAGTAGTAGGAAGAGATCTGAAGTGATGAGGCACCTTCTGGTTTGATAGAACGGAAACACAGGTCTTTCCAAGAGATGCCAGCCAGGAGAGAAGGTTTTCACTGCAGCCGTTGAATCTCAAGTCTTTTAACAGAATTCCTGCCAGGCTGCAGCCTGAGTCAATGGGCCACTGCTAGAGAAGTAGGCTGGTAACTGTGGAGTAACAATTGCTTCCTGAAATAGCAGTAAATTAAGGCACAGCCAACTGTGCCAAAGATAAAAACACATTGTAGTTCAGATGTAGTCAAATTAAAATTTAATACTACTGAACCATTCAGCTTTTATTAAATATAACTAAGGCAAAATAATACAAGAACACAGAACACTTGGAGACATATTAAGGTAAGAAAAGACTACATATAATTTTCCAAGTTTCTAGATTTTTAAATTCCCAAGTTAACTCTTTGGGGCATGGTCCTTTAAAATTAGAGTAGCAAGCTCTTCAATTCACAGCAGTTTTTCCTTTTTTCCTTTTTTTTTTTTTTTTGGTTTTTCAAGGCAGGGTTTCTCTGTCCTGGAACTGGCTCTATATACCAGGCTGGCCTTAAACTCACAGAGATCCTCCTGTCTCTGCCTCTCGAGTGCTGGGATTAAAGGGATGCATGCACCACCACCGCCTGGCAGTGGTACGTTTCTTTACCCCAGAAGTTGTTTGGCATAGTTTCAAAAACTTAATACTCCTGAACCACTTAGACAGCTTAGCAGATTAAAGGAGCCTGCCACCAGTTTGCTCTCTGGGACCCAAATGGCAGGAAAGAATTTCTTTCCATGGTTGCCCACTGATCTCCACAACCTCAACAAGGCCTATGAATCCCCCATCCCCACAAAGAAATGTAACAAAATTTAAGTGAATACTGATAACCAATTTGTTATATTTATGCAGTAATGGTGTATATTTATGCAGTAATTAATAGCACCATCTTTTGTACCATGCAAAATTGTTTAGTGGTAAATACTTCACGCCTATATAATAAATATATGTGATGAAATTCACCTTAAATTTTTCCTGTTCCAAGTTATTTTATAGCTAAGTACCAGATCATGTTATTCCTCCCAGACATTTCAAAACCATCCCAGCTACTCACTACATTATGTATCACGAATACCAAACAAGAAGTCATTTTTGAAGAAATTATTCTCAAGTTACTTATAACAGAAAGTCTATATTCTGTGTAGTACACTGGTTTAAGTTCTCCTTTACAATTTTTGGGACTGTTTTGATCCCTACAACCACCTCAGTCTGCACTGTCAGGAGCTGGGCAGAATCTAGTTGGTTCATTATCTACATTCAATGTTTCCAGTATCTTCAAGAATTCAAATAAACCGATTAGTATATTTTTTTTTCCCTTTCTACCTGGAATATTTTAGGCAATAACGTGAACCATGGAAATCTAAGCTAATGGGCAATACAATGTATACAATGTACAGTGCTTAGTTTTTGATATGTTTAAAGTCTCACTTGAAATTATTTCCAGTGATAAAGCAAATGATATTCATTACAATTATGACCATAGTATGTAAAATAAATCACAAGATTTTATTGTATAATTTGTAACAGCTACTCAATTCTGTAAAAAATTATAAACATCATCTTAGTATTTACATATGGTTCTAGCAACAAAGCTGGCAAAGAACAAACCAAAACCAAAAAGCAGACTCCTAAGAATTATATATGTATTTATAAAAATTCCAAGAATAAAACTGTCACTTCTGAAAAACACATTAAATACTAAAATCCAATGAATGTAGAAGCTGAAGGGGAAGAGAAAAATGTTGAGAGCAGACTACTTGAATTTTCATCCTCCCAAACATCTAAAACATCACATAGCCCACTGTTTTCAGTGTAGCTGGTAAACCCCAAAAAATCTGATTTCTCCCCGCTTGTTTGAAAAAGGTCCAGTAGAGACTGTACTGGTGACCCACAAGTTCTGTCTTCACACATAGGAAGAAACTCAGTTCTTTTTTTATCCAATTCAGCACTTGGGTCCACATTTTTTTTCTTCTGCCCTAATAACAGTCTCACTTTCCGCTGGATCTTACCACAAGGCAAGTTATCTGTATTCTCCGTGTCACACTCATTGGGCTGCTGAGGACCACAGGATGGCGTTCCGGCCTTCACTGTTAGCTGTTCTTTTGATGTATTTAATGTCACCAGATCAGAATCATGACCAAACACAAAATGAAGGTCCTTTTCTTGTAAATCTTTTGCTGAAAAATGTGTAGTATCTGCTGTTAATTTTGGTTGGGGTAGACTATTTTCTGGACTGAGATGAGAAACTTGTACACATGACCGTGGCACACCTACAGAGTCACCAACCCTCTGTTCTAAATCATTTCTATTAATAATTAATTTATGTTCAGAAACATCAAGAATTCCTTCCTGTTCATTTTTACATGGAGGTAGCTGTGTAAACTTCTGTTTTATGTCAGGTTCACTGGCATTTAACATGCTGGCTGCTTTCTCATCACGTCCTTTCAATCCCGTTGAAGAGTAGGACATGGGTTCTGAAGCCAACACAAGCCTTTGTTCAGGTTTCTGGATATCTTCACACTGAAAAATCTCCTCAGGCAGTTGTCCATTACTTTCTACCATGTCCTTCTGGAAAATGGGCTCCAACTGTAGCTTCTCCTTTGGTTCAGTGTTTTTCAGGACATTTGCAGAAACAGAAGAAAAGGAGCCAACGCTGTATTTTATTCTTTAAGAAGAAAAACAGAAAAATTCAGAAGTTAGAAATTAGTCAAACTATGAGTTTAAGAAACTGATTTAAGATATGCCAACACAAAAATCTTAACATTTACTTCAGCCGTTTTAAAAGTAAAACTCAAAACTCCAGTGTACCCACTTCCCTTCCACATCCTTCTCCCTCCCCAAGATAGCAACATCCAGAACTTTGAAGGAATCACGAGGAATTAAAATGACATGAGTCATGTAGCCAAAGGGAGACAACAGGAGCTGAATCTGACCTGACTTGGTTATCTTGAGAAAATATCAGCAATTTAGTGCTTTAGTTTATATTAATTAATGTACATTTTACTAGTTATGTTTAATCAACAGAAAGTTAAGTATTTACTGGAAACTGAAAGCAGAAACACACAATATCAAAGTACACTATTTATTTGTATTTCTAAAAGTAAAGTAGTCCTTCAAATTCACACAAATATATATGAATCAAAACTCTTCTTCATGTAGAATCTTGGAATACTTGGGATACTAATTTCTCTTAAACAATCCCAAATGATGTATAAATAAATGAATGAGAAGTTAACTGGTCACCAGTTACATTCTGAATTATCTATCACAAGAAACAGTGAGCAATGCACAATTCACCAGTCTTTACAACCAGAATGGTTTCCTCTACTTATGTTGTTCACCCTTTAAGATTCTTTTTGAGCCTCATCCACGAGGCCCTAGAGGTTTGATCCCTAAAAAGCAAAGCAAAACCAAAATGGGGACTAGAGTTTCTTTAAACAAATGGACGATAGCACTAGTCCAACTGTAATTTCAGAGATATTCATGAACTGAAAAGTAAAAATGGCACTGATAAATGACTAGGGAATGACTATTAAAAACTAAAGTTTTAAGTTTTCAGTTAGCCCCACATGACCACATCAGTAAATCAGCCATGAAGTTTCAGCAGAGCACTACAGGAATCCAGGATCTAAAGATGCAACACCCCTGCTTACTCTTCAGAGGCTGGATTCAGTATCACAGCTCTTTAATCTTTATGCCTTAAGGATAGGATAAAAATAGATAACCGAATTATCAACTCTACGGTACATACATATGAAAGCATTTCTAAAATTTTATGAGAATAATATAATTAGGTCCCAAATTGTCAGTGTGTAGTTACTGGAAACAGAACAGCACTGTATTCACACTTCAAAATTCTGCCAATGTCCTAGTTTGTAATCAACATTTTTAATCTGACAATAAGTTTCATGGTTCGACAGCAGAGGTTGACAATGTCACCTACTGCTCATATCTGGTCTTCAATTTAGTTTCTTAACTAATGTTTTGCTGGAATATAGCTATGTTCAGTAACTAAGCTGAACAGAGGCCACTGAACTCTTTCAGTTCACAAAACCTAAAATATCAACTCTATACTGACCTTAATAGAAAAAATTGTGAACTCCCTTTCAAAACCATGTCAGAGGGAGACTAAGTACCTTTGGTGGCAGGGAAAAAGAAGGGAAGAAGGTATTAGTTCTAAACCATATTTGTCATGTTAAAAAAAAAATCTATATTCCTTCTAAGAGCAGATAAACTTCAGAATAAGTTTTAGTTTATACATAAAATAGCTTTACAACCCAAGCAGAACTTGGGCAAATTAATTACCTTTTCTTTTTAGGTGTGTCTCTCTCATATTCCACAAAATCAAAAACTAACTTAGATACAATATCATCAACAACTTGATACTGGTTACTCTGTGCGAAGTTTTTGTGTTTCTCACTCAAAAGGTGCTAAAACAAAACAAAAAGCATCATAAAACTGCATTCAATAATTACATCAATTAAATAAATTCCAAATCAAATAAACACTGTCATTATATATGTCTGAATCAATTCTATATATGTGTATCTATTTTTTTCTCTATATATATACATAAAAAAAAAAAACCATATCTCAAACTCAGCTAGGAAGCACAGTAGGAACTTCACTCACAGGCACTGTGCCTCAGTCTGTAATCACTGCACTTGGGAGGCAACGGTGGAAGGACAGCTGTAAGCTTCAGGCCAACCTGGGACAGACAGTTACTACCCCTACTTTACTAAACCAGCATAATTACAGACTCTATTTTAAATATTTAACTTTACACCCACAGAGTAAGTGTAGTACTCACCCCCCATCATTTGAAACAGATGGGGACCACAGAAAAAGACAAACTGAAAATTCAGAGAACAAGTGATTGTGTGGTGTCCAGTAAACATCACAGAAGAGGTCAAAGATTGAAAGAACCAGAGAAACAGGAAGTCTGCTGTGAGACAGCATCTCCTAGAAATGACACTCAAAGTCTCCACGATAGCTGTCCAATCACAGAGTAAGAACAACATCAATATGCATGCCAAGATGGAAGGTAGAAATCTCATAGGACCCCAACCCTAGACAAAGAACTACAGGCAAGTAAGGAATTTCCAAGAAGAAATAAGTCTTCCCAGGAAGAGCACACCAATTGGTTATCTTATACAAAGTGGTCAGCCTGGAGTTGTATGCAAACAAGTAACATTTTATGGATTGAAGAGAATACATAAATAAGTCAACAATTTTTAAGGAGAGCCCATGAATTGTGAGAGACAGCAAAAGGTAGTAAGTGGGATTGATAGGGGTTGGAGAAGGGGGAAATGATGTATTTATATTTTAATTTAAATATTTTTAAAAGGACTTTATCTCGGCTAAACATGGGGGTGCACACCTTTAATCACAGCATTCGGGAGGTAGAGACAGGTGGATCTCTGTGAGTTCGAGGCCAGCCTGATCTACAGCCAGGGCTACACAGAGAAACACTGCCTCAAAAAGAACCAAAAGAAGGGGGTGGGGGTAGGGGAAAGACCTTTTGTCAAGACAAAAAGAATGACCTTTAGCAATCCAGTAACATACTAGTGTTTTATAAAGCACCTTTTCATCTACGACTGCATGTAATTATCAAGGTAGGGCTTATAGAATTAAATGAAGTCTTTTAATATGCAAGAACTGAAAACCTGTAAGAATCTAGAAGAGTTTAAAAACAAACTAGAGTGCTGCAGAGCTGGCTGAGCAGTTACAAGCACTTATTGATCTTCCAAGACTTGAAGCTTGTTCCCAGTACCCAAATGTGGTATCATAATCACCACTAGCTCCAGTCCCTGGTAATCCAATTGCCTCCTTTAGACTCTACACATGCGCCATATGCTCGCACACAGAGTCATGTAAAAATAAACCTTAAAACTCAAAATCTATGACAAATGCTACAAAGTATATTATTACAAAAAGACGCATAATTGAAGAAATATCCAGGTATGAGCAAACAAATGTGCTCATTACATACTGATCACAACAGAGAGAAAACTTTTTCAATCTTAAGAGTGATTAGAAGGAAAAACAAGCTGGGCATGGTAGCACACATCTTTAGTCCTAGCAGCGGCAGATAGATGTAGATTTCTGTGAGTTCAAGGCCACTTTGGTCTACAAATGATGTTCCAGGACAGCCAGGACTGTTACACAGAGAAACTTTGTTGGGGGAGGGGCAAAAAATTAACTCATCCTAGTTACAAATACATATAAACCTATTTCCTTTGCCAGCGACACAAGCTAATAAAGGTATGGAATGTTTGCTTTACCTCCAGTACATAAAAATATTTGCATGCATTTGTGCACAGACCTTGTCTGTGATTCCTCAGGTGCTGTCTACCTAGACTCATCAAGTAAAGCAGACCAGCAAATCCAGCAATCAGCCTGTCTGCCCCAGTGTGCACAGCATCGTGCCTCTGGTTTTTATGCATGCTTTGGGGATCAATCTTAGTTCCTTTATAAGGAATTAATTGACGGAGACATCTCTTAAGTCCTCAAAAATATTTCCTAACTCAAGTCTCTTGGCATGTGTAGAATCATAGTAATCTCAAAAACATAAAAAAACAAGGTATTTTTTTTTAAAAAAAGATCTCAAACCTAAAACCCTTCAGTCCATGCTTCCAAAGTGCTGTGATTACAAAAGTGACCTACCCAAATCAGCTTCTTTAAATTAAAAACAGACAAACAGAACAAAAACCCTATCAAAGTCATGATCTTAAATTTCAATCTCAAATCTACTTCCACAAATTTACTTTCTTTGTGGTAACAAGCAGACAACTTTCCTTCTATCCCTACATTTTCTGAGTATCACATTAGGACCTCAAAGATTAATAAAAACAAACATTCTAGATTACTCTGTTCTCCCAATGCCAAGTAATTTCAAAAACATTTTTTTTTTTTAAGTTTCAAAACATAGAAGGAAGGGGGGGGACTTTGAGATATATTAGCTTTGGAGTCAATGTAATTTTAAACTAACTGTATTTTCTCCTTTACCATGTAAACAAAAACAAAACAAAACCACTGGTAAGTATTAATAGATTTTGTAAAATCCATATATATCTGAATATGGTTCTTGTTATGTTGTTCATGTTGTCCTAGAAATTATGCATTCAAATATTCATCCCACCTCAAATACTCATCCTGAGTATTTGAAACTAAAATTGTAATTTGTGCACCACTACATCTGTCTATCTTCTCTTAAAAGTTAAGCATTCAAATACTAACTGCTAAGATTAATAAGCACTTGCTATGCACTAAACTTAAGGGCACACAGACAGATTGCTAGTGATTCTAAAATTCTTATTTATCAGAGTACAAACTCCAATAGGCCCCATCTTTAAAAACTACCTTTATCTAATATGCTCTCGAAAGTCTTGTCTTTTGCAATTATTCAGACCAAAAACATAACTTTTCACTTATCCACACCTCTCAACCCAGAATTGTGTAAACCCTTTCAGTTTTATCCTTGAAGTGTTTCAACAACCTGGTTGAGCCTCAAGAACTCCCATCCTGCTTGGTACAGGCCATCATACCACTTCTGGATGGCTCCCTGGCTGATTTCAGTCAATATTGAGAAATTTGGTTACCTAGCTTTTCTGTAGTTCTACTTAGACGTCACTTAGTTATTTCTTTGCCAAGTCCAAATAAAAAGCAAAAACTCAGCCCTGCTTTGTTTCTCCTGCACTGACCTAATACCATCTATCAACATAGATTTTTGTTATTTTTATCTTATAGTTATATACTGAGTGCTCCATAGAAAGCTACTGAATGAATAAAAATTATTTTTTTCAATGTTGATTTCCCTCCTCGGGTTCTTAAAATTCAAGTGCTTCAGGCTAAAGATGCAGCAGTGCCAATGCATGCATGCACCATAATGTGCAGAGTGCTGGGTTCCATCCCTATCATAAAACATTTGGGAGCTGTTTCTATCAAAGAATATATTTATAATTACCATGCTTCAAACTACAACCAGAATAGTAAGGTAAGACTTAAACATAAAAATATATGTAGGCTTTTAGAAAGACCAATCCTGAGGGCAAAATGACATTTACAGTTTCAAGATCTTCGTATTTCTGTAAGCAACATTCACAATATCCTTTTTTTCTCTTTTCCTTCAATTGGAGTTGAACTGGGGTTCCACCACATTTATCACCATCCGTATTAGGTCTAGTGATAAAAAAAAAAAAAGGCAACAAAATTAACTGCTAAACTCAATGAATAAAATTTATTTTCTTAAAACTATCACATGCAGAATCTGCTATAATCACAGTCTTGTAAGAGCAAATATCTTTAACTGCATTTCAAGAAAAAAAAAAAGTAATACTCCGAAGAACAGTTCAAATGGTCAAGTGAAAAAAGTTTCATTATTTGATCTCCACTCTCATCTAAAATTTCTAAATAATGCACTTAGATTCAGATTAAACATAGCATAGATGCATTAAAAATATACACAGGAAAAACAAGCACACATACAACTACCATAGCACAAAATGTGATTTCGATACCCCAAATGTTTATGAAAACAAAAAAGCATTCCTTCTAAAATCACTAACCTGGGTTTAGGCTGAGCTTGCTTTTGGACGCTGGATGGCTTCTCTATGTCAAATGGGCTGCAAGGCTTGTGCGTAGCATAGTTTATAGAAGGCACACTGGTCAGCTGAAGGTAGAATGGCCTGTAAGACCTAAAGGAATAGAGGCATATACTGGAGTTTCTCCTGAATCAAAGAAAAGTTTAAAGCCTTGTGTTTCAAAAATCATGTAGTACACCTCAATCTTAAATAAACAACAGAGACCTGATAGGGCTCACCTTCTTTTCAAAGAACCAGTTTGGAGCCCCTCCCCCGCCTTGGGTCCCTCTCTGTGTAGCCCTAGCTGTCTTGGAATTCAACCAGGCTGGCCTCAAACTCACAGAAATCTGCCTGTTTCTGCTACCACTGCCTGGCTCGTAGGCCTGCTCCTTTAACAATTAAAAAGCTTTAAAATTGAAAATAATTTTTCATACAATATTCTGATCAGTCAGTTTCTTCTCCCTCAACTTCTCCTAGATCCTTGCCACTGAAAAGTACCATTTAAAACATACAAAAACACCTACCACCTTAACTATTTGAAACTACAGTTGAGTCACATTAAAACCTGAGTTATAGAATCACCATCCCATTCACTGTATCAGCCTTGGTTTTCAACCTTGCTAATGCTGCGGCCCTTTAATACAGTTCCTCATGTTGTGGTGACCCCAAAACCATAAAACTATTTTTGTTGTTGCTTCATAACTGTGATTTTGCCGTTGTTATGAACTGTAATGTAAACATCCGTATCTTCCAATGGTCTTAGATGATCCCACTGAAAGGGTCATTTGACCCCCCTCTCAAGGGGTCGCTTCGTCACAAGTTGAGAACCACTCACTACTCTAGATAGTTTCAAATAAACTGTACGGTTTAGTCACATGAAGCATTAAGCTGTGAATTCACTACCCATTCTCTACAGTTCTTACCTTGCAAAAACCAGAACCCTACTCATTGAACAATAACAATTTCCCTCCAGCCCTTTCCAACTATCAGTGACTGAATCCGAATATTCTGGATGCTTTATACACATGGGATAATGTAACCTCTTAGGATGATGTCTGGAAGGCTCATCCGTGTTGTGGCATTTCGGAATTTCAATGTCTTTAATACATTCTACTGACAGAATATACACAGACATTTATCTTCCACACTTCATTTATCCATACTGAGGTAATAGATAAATACACTGAGGTTGCTTATAACTTTAGGCTATTTCTGTTTCTTAGATACACGTGGAACTATCCTAAAAGAATTAATGAAGTCTCACTGTGATTTGGATTTGCATTTCTCTACTATATTTTATTTTTTCCTTTTGAGCTGTACAGATGATTTTTGTATTCTGGATACTAACTCCATATTAAATATATGACTTGCCTTCTTCCATTTATTGGATTAATCTTTAATATTGCTGTCTTGGTTAGAGTTTCTATTGCTATGATAAAACATCACAATGAAAAGCATACATGTTCTAATCACAGGCCATCATGAAGAGAGGCAGAGCTGAAATTTAAGGAACCTGGCAGCAGAAACTGAAGTAGAAGCCATGAGGGAACATGTTTACTGACTTCCTGCCCATGGCTTAATCAGCTTGCTTATTTTCTTTTACCATTATAATAATTATTTTTCTTTTGGTTTTTTGAGACAGGTCTCACTCTGTAGCTCTGACTGTCCTGGAACTAGCTCTGTAGACCATAATGGCCTCAAGTGCAGAGATTTGCTTGCCTCTGCCTCCCTCATGCTGAGATCAAAGGCGTGTGCCACCTCTGCTCAGCTTTTTTATTATTTTTAATGTATTTAATTTTCATTTATTTGTATGTGTATAGATGTTTGCCTAAATGTGCACCTATGCATCATATGCATCTGTGCATCATATGCATGCAGTGTCCAGAGGCCAGCAAAATGCATCCCATCCCCTGGGCCTGGAACTGGAGCTACAAATAACTGTGAGCTGCTATGTGGGGGCTGGGAAGCGAAGCCTGGTCCTCTGGCAGATCTGCCAGTGCTACTAACCACTGAGTCATCTCTCCAGCCTCAAGCCTGTTTTATAAAATCTACGACCACATGCCAAGGTGGAACTACCCACACTATTAAATCTTCTAGTGCAGTCTATGATTATAGGATATCTGACCCATTACCTAATTTTGTGACAAGATATTCCTATGCTGCTTAGGATGGACTAGAAGTTCAGATCCTGAAGTTGCAGGCATCAGACCTTGGCCTGGCCTAATTTTAAACTGCACCTTTTCTTCACAATAATACTGTCAAAATTTTTATATGTCTTAAAGATTTTATTATTTATTTGTAGATGCATGTGTGTGGGTGCCATGGACACCAGATACCCTAGAGCTGGAGTTATAGGTGACTATGAACTACTCAACAAGCATGCTGGGAATTAAACTGACGTTATCTGGAAGAACAGCTAGCATTCTTAACCGCTGAGCCACCTCTCCAGCCCCATAACACATTTTAAAAAGAAGTTTTCAATGCTTTAGTCACTTCAGTGAACACCCAAGAAAATTAGCTATATTCAACTCGGCCAAGGAAATAGCCAGAAAGCTAAGAGAAACTAATCTAACTTTTTTATACCAAACTAACTTACCTCTGTTTATTGATTTCATTAAGATTATTTCAGAAAACCTAACAGTTTGGAAAGCTATTATGGTAGATGTCATATTTAGGTTTTATATTCCCAAGTAATATCTATAATTTTCCCCACAATTATAGGGGGAAATCTTTAGTAATTGTTCAAAGTCTTTAGCCACAGTGATTATTTAAAATAATAAAATATGAGATGATTTTATGATTAACCTAAAGCAGATATTCTGAATTTAAATCTATAATAAGATGAAACTAAATTTAGTCTTTGAACATAAATGAATTAATGCTCTAGGCACATCACTGTCATATAAAGGAAATAAACATATTAATGGGAATAAGTCTAATCAGATTTTTCTCTGTAATACCAACACAACTTCCTACACACTAGACATTGACACTTACCGGTTCACATCTTCAACCTTTAAAAAAGGCTTTTTGAGTCTCCCTGCTTGAAAAGAGAATACCATTAGACACTTACAGATGGTACTTAAAGACTTTACTGTGGGTAAAATCCCCTGGAAATCATTTGATACCCACAGAGTTGAAAGGTGTAGGCCTCAGGTAAAATAGTTTCCAACATCATCACCCCAACCTGATCCAGCATACTTTGAGAATTTGTTTTGTTCTGTGAGACAGAATCTCTCTACTGCAGCCTAGGCTGGGCAGGAACTTCTCATACTCAAGCCTCAGTCTCCACACTGTTGGGATTAGACATTTGCCATCATAACCAGCCAAATATTCTTAAACTGATTGGCTCTGGTATTTTCACAATGTAAAACTATCTCAAAGCACTACCGTTTCATGTTCATCATAGTAAATAGGTTTGATCAGAACCCATTTTTTGTTGTTTTTGAAAATATTAATTTGGGAGCTGGAGAGAGAGAGTTCAGCAGTGAAGATCACATAATGCTCTCATAGAGGACCAGAAAAATTCAGTTCCCTGTACCCACATCAGTTGAGTCACCACTACCTGTGACCCCAGCTCCAAGGGATCCAACAACCTCTTCTGGCTTCTTTGGGTACCTGTACTATGTACACATATCCCCTTCCCACAAACACAATAAAATAAATATCTTAAAAAACTATTAATATCCTGGCAGTGGCAGAGCACACCTTTAATTCCAGCACTCTGGAGCCAGAGGCAGGTGAATCTCTAAATTTAAGGCCAGCGTGATATACAGAGAGTTCCTGGACAGCCAGAACTGTTGTACAGAGAAACCCTGTCTCCCAAAACAGAACAAAAAACCCGAACAACACAAACAAAAACCTAGTAACATGGGATAGGATAGTGTTAAATGTCCTCAGACTATCACAGAGTTCCATGTTCTCAAGATTACTAAAAAGTCCTTGAATAAATCATTTAGAGGATTAATTTATCTTAGAAAATCTTTGTAAGCATATACATTTGGATATACTGGAGATTGACTCTAGGTCAACATGCACCTGGGGTAAGTGTTCTACCACTGAATCAAGAGTCCTAAGCTTCAATCTTCATATATTTTTTTTTCTGCTCTCTAAAAGAAAATTAAACATTGTATTAGAATACTTACTTCTCGCCTTTTGTATTGTAGTGCCAGCTTTTTTTCCCTTTAAAAAAAGAAAAGATGCAGTGAAAACACTGGGTTTGAAAACAGCAAAAACTTCACAGACAATTGTTCAGTACCTTCAAGAGAAAATTCACAGGGAAAACACTGTATCAAAGTGGGTGGTTATTTCTGGGGGAAGGGGGGAATCTTGCTTCTTAAAATCAATTCAATCAAATAAACTGAATAGCACGCAAGAACTAAAGATAGAATTCAGTTCTACTTTACAGTCTTCCTTGGAGGCTTGTAGTGCTGGTATTGAACTTGGGTCCCACAGTCCTAGCTATATCTTTAGCCCTTGCACTCTAGATTAAATTTTAGCCCTCAACATTAATTAATGAGAACAAGGTATTGTTAGCAGTTTAGACCTAGGAGAAACAAATAGTTACAATTCACTGATTATATCTAAACTCTGGATAGCATTCAATAAGCAGCTAGGTAGGTATACAGGCATTTTACAGGAGGGAGCAGATTGTGAAGATCATGTTAAACGTGGACCTTCAGTCATGAAGGTGTCTGAGTGAATGAGTCAAAAATTAAACTAACTACATCTTTCTCACTAGAGAAATAACAAAAGATGCTCCAAAAACCCACAGAAGTCTCTGAATGTTTTCTTTCTTCCAGTTGTCCTGAGGGTACATTCCAGGTATAAACATAGTATGGGCAGTGCTGTGGGTACTATGGGAAATCCCCAATTTCTTACCAGAGTAGCTGGGAAAGGGACCTTTGAACAGAGGATTCAAGGAGCACGCAGAAGGGGCATCCCAATCCCCTGTGTACATATACACATGCACTGAGCAGAACTCAGCCTTGCACATGTTATTGATAGATCCAAAGTGCAAGATAGAAAGAGCTTTGAAAGTGGAACTAAGATTTAATCACTGCCCAAATCTCAGATTAACTCCTATGTAGTGTGTGTATAAAACAACCCCAATGATGCATAGAAGTCTTTGAAAACAGATTAGAATGCAACAGATTAGAATGACTTCATAACCACAAAATTAAGACAGAATTTACAGTCTGAATAAAACCTGAATAAATATAGGTGTTCAAACAACAGTAATGGCAGCACAGTGGCACACATCTTTAATCACTGCACTTGGGAGGCAAAGGTAGGTGGATTTCTGTGAGTTCCAGGACAGCTAGAACTATACAGTGAAACCCTGCCTCAAGAAAAACAAAACAGACAACAACAAAAATAACAGTAAAAACAAAATCAGTTTTGCCTAACTATTATACTAGATATGGAGTCTGCACAACACTGACAGTATCTTGTGTGTACTGAAAATTTACCTGACACATAAAAGTTCACACACACACGCATGCATGCTGAACAGAAATTGTAGAACTGAAAACTATGGCACTTATGATACAGAATTTACTGTGTGGACTCAATACCAGAATGCAAGTGACAAAATGAAGTGACAGTCAATGTAAAGATAATGAGTAACCATTCCCAATTGGAAGAGGGGAAGAAACAAAAGATAATCAAAACCATCAGAACCTCAGATGTATGTCCCTAGTGTTACTGGAGTTGTAGAAAACGTTAAGTTGCCTATTATATTACATAAAATGACCAAAATTACCAAACTACTTTTGTCTCCATCACTTTTTTTTTTTTTTGGTTTTTCAAGACAGGGTTTCTCTGTGGCTTTGGAGGCTGTCCTGGAACTAGCTCTTGTAGACCAGGCTGGTCTCGAACTCACAGAGATCCGCCTGCCTCTGCCTCCCGAGTGCTGGGATTAAAGGCGTGTGCCACCAACGCCCGTCCTCCATCACTTTTTATGTACTCTCTCAACTTTATTTTCTTTATATCCAAGTTGCTTAAGGATTGAATGTTGGAAAAGGAAACCACAAAAGAATGATCTGAAGAATAAGAGAAATCAGGAGGAAGCGAAGAGATGAAGAGCTCAAGGAAGGAATGGCCAACATTAGGAAAACCAACACAACTGGCTTTTAAAAAAAAGTTTCAAAATGATCTGGTAATCTCTTTAGGCATTTCATAGCTTGTCAGTTGAAAATGAGGAAGAAAAGTAGGAGCAGACATCTGCTAAATTTCAAGAAGATGGATTATGAAGATTGAACAGTAGTTAGGGGTGTAAGATCAAGGGATGGATAGAAAAAAAACCTTCTGTACAGAGGCTTCAAAGATGAAAGCAAAGAATGTAAAGACTGATGGCAGGAGACCATTAGGACAGCCACAGCGTAAAACTAATAGCAAAAACCTTACACTCAGGCTAACTGGCTAGACTGCACAGGATTTACAGCATTTCTATCATTTAGAGCAAATAAAATGTGTGTTTGGATTTTCTTACATAATAGGTTAATCTGAGTATTCTTCTACAGAATAAACAAAAGTATCTCTTAAAAATAGCGGCATCAGCTGGGCGTTGGTGGCGCACACCTTTAATCCCAGCACTCAGGAGGCAGAGGCAGTTGGATCTCTGTGAGTTCGAGGCCAGCCTGGTCTCCAGAGCGAATGCCAGGATAGGCTCCAAAGCCACACAGAGAAACCCTGTCTCGAAAAAACAAAATAAGATAAAATAAAATAGCGGCATCAAAAAAGAATGAAAAATGTATGCCATTACCCCAGAAACAATTTTCACTTCATGAATATAAGCTTCAAGGCAAATGATATACAAACATTATATAGGCATACCCATAAAATATTCTGACAAAGTATATTTGACTTATTAGGACATTACTCATAGATACATAAATTAAAAGCAAGCTATCACTTTTAACAGTACTTTAAAAATGTAGAAAGCAACATACCGAATCCCTCACAGAAGTACTTGATTTCTTGAGTGAACATAACTCTTTCTTCTTCTGTTCAATGTAGTATCTAATGTCTTTATTGAAAGAAGGACTGAAGATTAGCAATTTACCTTTGGAATTAAACAATGATATCTTAAGTGGCAGTAAACTTAGGTTAAAGGTTTACCATTGGAGTTACCCCCTACTATCAAAATTTTTACTATGCAAAGTTAAGAACTAAGGGACAGACAACAAATATTACCAAAAGATCCTTACCATCAATATGAAGAATCTTTACTCCCCATGTTAAGGCATTTGATAATATACTATTAGCAGGAATAAAATCCTGTAAAACAATGAAAAAACCAAGTTTACAAATCCATATAAAATTTTAATGCCTCTGAAGAAACCTCTTGCATAAATGTCCCTAAAGAATTACAAGAGTAATGAGGACCTTGTTTTATATTTTGGCATTTTATTTATTTATTTATTTATTTTCAAGACAGGGTTTCTCTGTAGCTTTTGGAGGCTACCCTGGAACTCTCTCAGTAGACCAGGCTGGGCTTGAAATCAGAGATCTGTCTGCCTCTGCCTCCAGAGGGATGGGATTAAAGGCGTGACCCACCACCACACAGCGGCATTCTTAAATCCATCCCAATTAATATATTGCTGTTTTGTCCGAGACAACATCTCACTTTGTAGCCTTGGCTTGCCTGGAGCTCAGAAGTCTGCCTGCCTCTGCCTCTCAAGTGCCAGGAATAAAGGTGTGCTCATTATGCCTAGTTTAACAATTATTGTACAGTTCTAAAGCAAACTTTGGGTGTCCAGTAATGTTTGAGATGGCCACAAGATGGGGGTGTTTCTCCAGGAAAACTAACTTCTGCTTCAGATACAATGAGATGATGGCTTAATTTAACCTTTTCTCATTAAAAATTTAAAGAGTATCTCCAGAATATGTGCAACTTTAATAAAAAATTCTGTGTGTGGTGTGTACATGTCTGTGTGCATGCAAAGGCTGGAGGTCAATGCCAGGTGTCTTTTTTTCAATTACTCTCTACCTTTTTAAACAGGGTTTCTTGCTGAACCCAAAAGTCATTAATTCAGACTGGCTCTCCAAAAAAACTCCAAGGCTGAGGATTTGAGGTACCTGCTGCCATGCCTGGCTTTTTACTTTTTATGTGGATTCTGGGCATCCAAACTTAGCTTCTCATGTTTTCATGGCAGGCATTTTACCAACTTTACTGTCATCCCCAAGTTAATTTCTTTTAATTACATTTACTTATTCTACATGAATTCATGTCTTTGTGCACGTGTGTAGGTGCACACTTGGAGATCAGAGGGCAATTTGCATGAATTAGTTCTTTCCTCCACCATTTGGGTCCTAGGTATCAAACTAAGGTCACTAGTCTTGGCTTTACCCACTGAGACATCTAGCCAGCCGACAGTTTAATGTTTAATAAAATAAAACTGGGTGTGGTGGTACATATCTATAATGGCAGCACTTGGAAGCAAGCTATATAGCAAATTTGAGGCCAGCCTGAACTACATGAGAATCTGTCTCAGATCAATCAAATAATAAAGAAGCAAAATATGCCCTACATTTTTTCCCCTTTCCCCTCCCTGTCCCTGCATGACATGATCTCCTGCCCTGGCTGGCTTTGAACTCAATTAGCTGAGGAAGTCCTTAAACCTCTGATCCTCTACCTCCCTAGTGCTATGATAATAGGAGTATGCTGCTATGCCTGGCTTACAAAGAGCTGGGGGTTGAGCCAAGGACCTCATGCATGCTAGACCAGCACTGTCCTAACTCAGTGAATTTACTCACATGATCCTTGACAGCTTTTTCAGCTAATAACTTCCCTCGGCTCAAACATACCTGTAAGAAGACCAAGAAAACAAACATAAGGTTACAGTACTTCATCAGAGAAAGGATTACAAAGGGGAAATCATTAAAGTAGATAAATTTCTCGATGGCTATGAACACAGCAAATATATGGTCAAAAGTGACTTAATTATTCTCTTGGCAAGACAGATTACTAAAACTATCCTTTTCCTCCCCCCCCAGTGGTGAAAATAACAAAACATACCAAGAATAAAAAAGAACCTGAATGAGACCCAAGAAGGTCAATTCTCTAGTAAATTTGTAACTATTAAATTAGCTAGCATCCACTGAAATTTTAAATCTACAATTTTCATGCTCACAATTTAGATTTTACTCTTTTCCTTTTTGGTGGCACAGTCTACCAGGCATTTTACAACTCAGCTTTATCTCCAGTCCTTCTAAGACCTTCATTTTAGATACGTCTCACTGAGTGGTCTAGACTGGCCTTGAGATTGCAATCCTCTTGTTTCACATCCCCAGGAGCTGGGATAGCAGGCCTTGTTTTGTATTAACCGAAGATTTAAGAAAAATAAACTTTAGCAGCCAGGTGTTGGTGGCGCACGCCTTTAATCCCAGCACTCAGGAGGCAGAGGCAGGCAGATCTCTGTGAGTTAGAGACCAGCTTAGTCTACAAGAGCTAGGACAGCCTCCAAAGCCACAGAGAAACCCTGTCTCGAAAAACCAAAAAAAAAAAAAAAAGAAAATAAACTTTATACAAAATTATTTCACTTTTAAACTAGGACAGCTTGGAAAGTAGCTGAAGGCTATGAGCGAATAGAGAGCCTGTTGCTAGTATATGACCTTCTCTCCAAACAGCACAAATGCACAAGCCTATTTCTTTTTCTCAAGTTATCTCCACTGCAACTCATGTTACCTTTTTTCTGTATTTAAACTGCTTTTATATGGCTACCACAGATAAGGAAGGTATGTTTCAAATGGCAACTGAATTACATGTCAGTCTAACAATTTGGATACATTAAGCATTTTATCTCTCACTCTCTTCTCTAAGCATTTAGACCAATTAGTTTGTCCTTCCTTTTGTCTTCCAACTTAATGGCAATGATTTGACAGGGGTGTATTGCCACTATTTTTTTTTTAAGCATGGATTATAACTTATTTTATGCAAGGTGTCAAACAGAATACTTTTGTAGGCTGTGTACATCACATGGTCTTTGTCACAAAGACTAAATACTACCTAAAGCATGAAAGCAACCCTAACATTTATACAATAATTACACAAATACTTTCTACATATCACAAAATATTGTTTCGAGTTTTCCACCAAGCTCTTGGATGTATAAAATCATGCCTAACTTGTCGGCTTTGTGAAACAGGCAGTAAGCTGGAAGTGGGCAGTTTGCTTTTCTCTGCTTTGAAATCTTTTAAAGTTTTTATTTTTATTTTTTTTTCATGAGAATGACTGGCTATTAACTTTCATTGTAAATTATTCTAAACAGAAAAGCTACCCTCTAAAGAACAAGGATATATATTTTAGGAATCAAGGTACAACTTGACTACACTATATTATTAAAGAAAAATAATCAGCTTTCAAAATGACAGCCAATGTTAACAATAGTGAGAAAGCCACAGAGCTTTGACTTTATAACCATTCCATCTATGTGCTATAAGCTTGCAAGTGAAAGCCCAGAGTCAGGTGTGAGGGCAAACATCTATAACCCCAGTACCTGGGAGACAAAGGAAGGAGGGCTGAGAATTTTGAGGTCAGTCTGGGCTACATAGGAGTTCCAGATCAGCCTGAGAGGATTACATAGTGAGATCTTGTCTCAAAACAAGAAAACCATGAGATCCACTTTCCTATAGTCTCAAAGCATATATACCACACTTACTCTGTCTGGAGACTTAAAGGAACTTCCATCATGGCTGGGATGAGGTGAGGTGGTTTCTGCAGTATATGCAGACTCTGGACTTGGTACAGGAGAAACTTGACCCAGTGTTTGTGCATACTTTGCTTCCTTTTTATTTGAAACAAGATAACTGATATCTTTGCTGAGAAATTCTTCAACTCGCTAAAAGAAAAAAAAAAAAAGCACTTTTAATTGAAACTCCAAAGCTATTTAAAAACATCGCACAAATTACAATTTGATGTAATCTAGTATCTTACAAATTGGTATTTCCAGTATTTCTGGGGCTAACCACCCAAAACGCAATTATAACCAGGCCACCGAATTTTAAATTTTACTTAATCTTAATGAATTAACTGGTAATCACAGTTCTAAATCATTAAGTTTGTAACATTCTAAGGCTTAAACATAGCAGAGAAAAGAAACCCTTTACTATACAAGCATAAAACTGTTGGAAGAAAATGTCCCAGCATGCTTTGTAGTACCAAATTCAATGTTATTAAAGATCACTCATCACTCAGAGGAAGAATTAAAGTAAGTCTAATAACACCAGTAGTACCATTAAATAACTGACATGAAGACTAAGAACTAAGCCGAAACAACAAATACTCTGTAAGAAGACTTTGTAAAAGCTCTATCTAATCTCTACAGTATTCATACCATGGAAGACAACAACACCACCCTCAATGGGCTGGTACTTGTTGCCAAGAATGACTTGAGTTTGATCACCTGGCAGAAAGGGAAAACCAACTCCTGCAGCTCTCCTCTGAGTTCCTCATTTTTAGGCCCTGCTCTCCCAGGTTCATGCTGCCAACCAGACCTTTATGTTTATCTTTCTCCAACTGCTTTATTATAGTCTGTTTAGAAACAGGCCTATCCTTTGTCCTTTTTCTTTAAATAGGGTCTTACTAAGTAGCCCAAGATGGCATGAACCTTTGAACTCATGATCCTACAGCCTTAGCCTCCCAAACCCTGAGATTATAAGCAAGCCTGGCTCTATGTCCTTGCATGGTTTTGATTTAGCTATTTTCTGTAACACTATAAAGTTTGCTATGTGTGAAAATTGACTACAATAAGTCAGTGGTTTAATTATCATGACTCTTCTGTACAAATGAATAGGATATTAACATGTTTTTATTAAGACTAGAAAAAAAAACATACAGAATGTAGTCAATTAAATGAAGACATTTTTGGGGTGATCTGAAGCAATAAGTCATAAAAAGGATAGAAATGCTATATAAAACTAAAAATTGGGGGAAAATATAACCTTTTGATAAAATTAGCGTTTGGATGTAAGAAATGAACCAACTTCACTGAATTATATAAGAATGATAAAGACCAGAACTAAGTACTTTTCTCCAATAAGAAAGTTAGTGAAGTGTGTAAGTCAGCTCTCTTTTCACCATATGCGTCCCAAGGATCACACTCGGGTCACCAGGTGAGGCAGCAAATGCCCTGCCTTGCAAGCTACCTCATTGGCTCAGTACTTTTCCCTAGGGGGAGAGTGCAGATGCAATCTCCATTAATATAAATTATGCAGCAGAGCCTTTTTGCATTTGAGGAAATCACAGGGTCAGTACATCTGTACTGGTATGGATAAGCCTCACCTTGGGAAAATCATCATGATCATGGTAACTCCCCTAGCACATAAGTATAATATTACATATTACATTTTTAATATGTTCACTGAGCTATTTGAAACCACTAATGGTAAAAAATCTGACACATACAGAATCAAATCTTCCTTAACTATATGGCAGACGTAATTCAAAATGTTTCTTGAAAATACGTTAGGAAGTGCTGAAGCTGGGAGAGAAAGAAAGGGTTAGTGGAAGTGATTCCTGTTCCAGTGGTCACACTGCTAACTTAGTCAAAGCTTCTTTTACAGATTTCCCCACACGAGGCTTATAGACAGATTGTCTGAAGCATCTACTGCTAAAAACACAAAGTTAACACATTGGGCAACGTAACTGAGAAAGCTATGAAGCAACTATTAGCCACCGAGAGTTAAAGAGTAGTGGCGTACCACACTACTCTGGGAATTAGACTAGCAGACAGTACTCTGATTCTAAAGCAGAGGGGTCTTTACACATACCTAAGGCGCTAAGCACATCATTCCCTTGAAAGGACATAGTCAATGATGGCAGGTCTATCAACCAAGACCTCTAGAAGTGCAACTATATGGGCCATTATGATGAATGCCACCATAAATACGTGACAATAGTGGAAAAGGAGGATGCTCAGGGGAAGGGACCTAGTTAAAAAGAGAGTGAGCAAGACTCGAACGACAAGGACGGATAATGGGGGTAACTAATTATGATGTAATTTGTGTATGAAAGTAACTGACGAAAAATAAAAAAATGAAATTCCTTCAAAACAAATGAATATGAAATTCTTTTCATATTCAAAGTAAAATTCTATTTAACCCCCCACAAAGAAAGTAGAAAAATTTCAAGGGCAAGTAAGTAAAATATCATATCAACAAAAAATTCTAAGGAATCTGAAATTTCCAGATTGGAAACACTCAAACTTTCAGAAACTCAAAATTCCAGTCCAGCAAAAACCTCTGAAACAGTAAAAATCCCAATAACCTCATTTGCTGGAACTTAGGCAATATCAACATTACACCTAAGAAATCTTTTAGACTTTCGACAAAGTTTTTTAATCATCTAAATAATGTATGTAAGAGGGAAGACAACTATTACTTCAAAACTGTTCCCTCAATGACTGGCTTCTGTTGACTCAGCAGTTACACACACACACAGTATATTTTTGAGGGTTTCTCAGTTTAATAGCTCTGTAGACCAGGCTGGCCTCCAACCTAGAGATCCACTGGCTTCTGCCTCCCAAGTGCTGGAACTAAAGACGTGTGCCACCACTGCCCAGCACTATTTTAACACCTAACAGTCCTGTGTGGTCCCCACCCCACCCCTAGTATCAGTCAATAAGTTCGTGCTATTCAGGAAAGCAGTTCACTAGGACCAAGGACTCTCTTCCCTTTATACTTAACCACTTATCGCAGTTACTTACCAGGTTACGAAAAGCTAAAACATGTTTTCTTTGCCTTTGGTTTTGGGACTTGAGCATAGAAAATCTTGCACATGCTCAGTAGGTGCTAGACCACTGGGTTACACTCCCAATCCCCAAATTCATCACTAACAAAAAACAATTCATAGTTTTTAGGCTGCTATTGATTAAATGGCTATAGATTTCCAAAATGATAGAGTTTGAGCCTAATTTTTTATTTTTTTGTGAGTGCAGTTTTCACTTACCCCACCGAGATCCTTTATGTCCTTTTGTAGTTTTTCACATATGGTAATGGAAGGCAAGTCAAGGTAAAATATTTTTCCACAAAGAGGCTTATATTTGGATTTTTCCAGCCTATTATCAGTTTTCAGGGATTTCAAAGATGGTCTGTTCTTTTCATTTTTGTCTTGGATGCCACCTGTGATTACAAAAACAATCAGGTAATGCTTTATACAGACAAAAAAATTTAACTGCTTAGAAAATGTTCAACAACCTTACCACAGAAAGGAAAACTTGTTAGTCATACCAACTTAAGGAGTTGGGTTCTAAATGTACTGCTGAATATCACACTTAGGATGAAGGCAAACTGCCCTGCATGCTTCCCACAAATTCTGTACTGGAAAACAAGAGCTCAATCCGCAGGTAGTACATTATTTATTCCTTTTCATGTATGAAGGCAGGGAACTCTATATAAAGCCTTCCTGAAAACCTCACTTTCTCAGGATGTAATAAACTTCAGGTAGGTATTGGCTCAAGTTATTTACTGATGCCAGCAGGGCTGGGAAACAACACAGGTGTTTCAAATTGTAAAAACTTATTTACCTAGGCAAAAAAAGAGAAAATTATCTAGAATAAGCAACCTAACCCTCAAGGTTTACTGTGTGCTACAATTACGGCTTCACAGTTTTGTCCAGTACTAAAAAGAACTAAAAATGATTTAGGTTCACACACTGTGTTTACACATTAACAACTTAGGCCCCCTCAGGACGTCGTGGCTGCTCATCTCCTTTTACTTTAAAAACAGATGAGAATCAACCAACTCCCAAGAACTTTTCAAACACAACCTGCATTTTTTTTTAATACTACCAGGTTAACAGACACGCACGTTATCTCTCTTAAGGAGAACTTTACACCATTATTTTTTTTTAATTTTAGACGACACAATACAATTGAAATGCAAGTGGTTTTTTTGTTGTTGTTCGTTTGTTTTTTGTCTTCTAACACAACCTGCATTTTTTTTTTTATACGACCCGGTTAACAGACACGCACGTTATCTCTTAAGGAGAACTTTCCACCATGAATTTTTTTTTTTTTTATTTTTAGACGACACAATGCAATCGAAATGCATGTGTTATTTTTTTGGTTTTTTGTCTTCACGTGTCCGCGAGGTTGAAATCCACACAGTCTGAATGACGAGCCAAGGAAACCGACAGTCACAAACGGAGCGGGGCCTCGGCGGGGACGCATTGTCTCCGGCCTGCAGCCCGGGCGGGGGACGCGGGGGACGCGG